TATTATTTTAATTCAAAGATTTTATAGTAACTTTTTTTTTATTATATCTAATTTTATTTATTGAGCTTTATTGAAGATCATTTATTTATCTATTTTACGTTGATGATTTTGATTATTTTATCATACAAAGTATCTTATTTTTATATTTCACCTTAATTTTAAAGTTTATTTTATTGATCTAAGAACATGAGAAAGAACCGGTGCCCCAGGTTCTCGCGCCTAAACGACCATGTGGGAAGTACGAAAGAGACCAAAGGGGATTCAGGGATTGGTCCTTGGCCTGGTCGCACTGCCCAGGGATCCCCGCAATGGGCCTCCTGAAGACAGCGAAGTGGTTCTGGGGCCGGATACTCAAAACTACCCGTCAGTTACAAGGCCGAGGACGTTGTAACCGCTTTACAACATCGTACCTTCCGATCTCCTTACTACATTGTAACCCAACCATACTCAAAAAATAATTACGATGTAGTAAGCACATTGTAAGGCCCGTGTTTACATTGTAAGTTAATTCCATTGACTACCAAGAGAGGGCAGACCAGTAGTCGATTGACCAATCAGCAGTCAGCCTACTAGACGTAAGAACCAATGGAAAGCCATGGTTGTCTTATTGCCACGCCCCCAACGGTCACCAACTCCATGGAAGGCCCAGCGACTGTCTCCCCGAGTAATATTTTTGAAAGACTTATTTCCTCTACTTTTAACAATATGTTTACGAGGTCTCACATGTGACTTACATACATTTTTTCGGAAGTATAAGGCAAAAAATCATAATTTCATGCGAAAGTAAATTGATTTTAACATACTTACGGAAGAGTCACTTATTATCGGAATAATAATTCTTAAAAGGATTGTTTAGTTGGATATTTGGCATCAAAGAAGGTTATAGTAAAACAAATCTAGGAAATCTGTGATATCGCAATAATTGCTTATCCTCTCCATAGCGTGAAACTAATGATTCCCTCTAATAATGACTTTCGCGCTGCAGTGCTCGGTCATGAGGATGAGCAGCCACCAAAACATTGTTGTGTGTCGTCTGTCGTCTGTCAACTCAATTTACAGTCAATTTATATTTGATTCAAAATAACGATAATGCATAGAAAACAGAGAGTATGCTAGACAATTGAAATTCCCCGGTATTAAACATGGAAAAGGCATGTTACTGTCAAATAAAGGTTTTTGTCGACTAAGTAATCGGGATATAAACAGTAATATATCCGGTTTGAAACCCTTACAAGAGCTCCCGAGCAGTTGTAACTTACAAGGTATTTTACAATGAGTGACGTCATAACATGGCGGCTACTTTTGTTTCGAGTATGGCCATCGGAGGAGTTACAACATTGTAACTGCTCCGATGCGAGATACAACATTGTAAACTGTTTTGAGTATCCCGCCCCTGGAGTTTGGTTATATAGGTTGTGAGAGACAATTTGACCGGATATTTATTCGGATGGTGACAAAGGTGATCTGGGGATTTATTTATTTATCATTTTAGTGTTTTCGTATGTGCTTTTGGCTTTATTGATTTTACTGCTTCTATTGATTTTACTGCTTTTTGAGTGTTTTATTGCATTTAATGTTTTATTGTTTTAAGTGTTTACTACGTTTTTTTAATAAACGTTTCACTATTATGTGTCGCAATTTCCCTCGCAAGCCTATGTAAAGGAAAAATGATGTAATAGTTCAGTGGTTGAAACAGCTCTTGGTCTCAGTAATCGCTACTCCCTTGCGTATACGCACACGCCTCTCCTCGGCTCATTCACGCTTACCAGCCTTTATACTCCCGCACCCAACACGTACACCACACACACACTCACACTGCACTCGCATACACAATCTATCGCTCCTTTCCCCATTTCTCCTACACTATTCCCTTCCCACAAACAACACAACGTTCCCATACGTAAACTAAATGAGTGGTGGCAGTGACGCTACTTTTCACATTCTTGCGGGACATAATTGTATTCACTACAGACCTATACACACCCCCTCCCCCAGCAAGCATGAATAAAAAATGAGGGGAATCTCGGTCAAACGAGGGGAAGGTCGTTTTCCCCTCTTAATAAAATGCTCTTTCCCTTCAAAAAAAGGTGATTTAATTTAAAAGCAATCTTAAAATATGTGAAGAGAATTACTAAAATTATACTAAAAAAAAAAGTAAAAAGATTGTTATACGATCCCCATGAGGTAGAGTGTGCTCTTCTAGGCGGTTAGGTAAAAGAAAACGAGAATGGAAAAACAATATAATTCAATACAATTAACACCATCAAACACACAGCCAACCCCATAAAAGTAGAACATCCCCCCCCTCCCAGCTTCCCGGACGCGGGCCATGGGCGGCCGCGGCTGGCGTTCAGAGGGAGACTCGGGAATTCCCAGGTTCCTCCCCCCCTTGGCTGGAAATTCACTAATATAATTGTTTATAGTTTTTTTTTATAATCATCATCATCATTATCTATATTCATCATTATATATTTCCATCCATTCCATATATTGCCATCTT